AAATATTAATTGTTACATTTGGATAATAATTCATACTCATGTATTTTTCTCTATTTGTTAAGTAATAAACGATTGCCTGACAGACAATGTACAAAAAATGCAAGACAAGGGTCGTAGGAAGCTGCAATTTGCCACGTAGAGAGTCATTCTTTGGGAGTGTGCTCCTGAGTAGTAAGCGAGGATTGATCTGCCAGAAATCTTAAGGGAACTAGAAAAAAAACTACTGATCCTATTTTCCTTATCGTTTATCGTACATAGCCTTATATACAGCTTCATCTGTATCAATAAAAAGTGTCAAATTCACCACTCAATCACCCGAAAAAGGCCGCAAAAATCGCACGGCAAAAATCATTCAAAGATGCACTAAAGATACAAAAACTATCGAAAATTAGTTCGGGACACTTAATTAAATTATTGGACTACACTTTTACCGGCCTAGCGTTATAGCCGCGGGATTAAAAAAAAAGGAAAGAAAGAAAAAGGTAAAATGCGTCCAAAGCGGAAAGGTTTGGCGCCACTGACACAAGCCGACCGATTTGACCCGCCCACGGCGCCGAAATGCGCTTCATCTTTTATAGTTATACATAGATCAAACTTATTAGTATTTTATTGTAAGAATATTAGGCCTTATTCTATAAGAAAAGGGGTAGGGAGTTCGTAAGATGGCGTATAATTAATATCGTTACGAATTCAAAGTTAAAATCAAATTATTTGTTTCGATTATGTATAGATGTTTTTTAGTGTCAAACAATACCATTCAAAAGTATACAGAGCGGATATAAATAGGGCCATCGTAGAGGGCGCCCTAGACGGGCATATACTGACCAGGTTGCCGATATATTAAAGAAAGGCCAAATTAAAAGTACCCTTAACCGACGAGCATGCATGAAAAGATTGATCACTGTTGATGAAGCGAAAGAGGTGTGTAGGAATCGTAGCAATTGGCGTACCATAGTCTCTGCTAGCCCCGTGGGAGATAGGCGTGAAGTTATATAAGTATGTGTGTATGTAAAAAGTCTGTCTGTTGCAAAGTTTACGGAAAACCTTAGACTCAATAAAACGGAGACGAATAAGCTAAAAACTCCTTGATTATCAACTTTTTTAAAAATTTCAAGTAAGACAAGTGTTTAGTCAATCTTTTAACAATAACTTACAACAATTCACCTTTCGGTATTAAAATCAGACTTCAAAAACGTAAACCGACCAGCAATTAACCACTGGCCTACGTAAAACAGCTTAATATATGTAATTAGCGCGTTTCTATATTAAGAGTAAAAAATAAATATAAAAAGTCTGCTCTAAAAGCTGCTCTCGTCGCCGCCGGTTCTTATTTAGGAGCGTTGGCGCCTAAGCAGTTAAAAAGTACTTCAAGTTGTCCATTTTTATTATTGGATATACACTTTTGCGAGTGTCATAATAAAATTTGAATGGCTCCTGGTTTTAAGAATCGTTGGTTAAGAGGTCACAAGGCTTCGAGTTTTATCTTAAAGGGAAGATGATAATTAGGTCTTCTGAAATAAGAATTTGATTGAAGAGGTGATCCTGGGGAATAAGGGTATTTTTTTTAAGGGTGGAAAATCATCGAATGGCTGCTCCCGCTTGGGTAGGGCGGGAGGGAGTGTCAGACTCTTGCTGACTAAAAACCACCCCGTTCCTTCTCCTGCACGTCGAGCCGGAGCCCCGGTATCCCGTTAGGTTCTCCGCAACGTAATAAGGGTATTGCCGTTACAATCATTGCACAGTGCTCTAGACAAGGTGTAGATTTATTTGGATCATGAAAAATATAAGATAAAGGATACCTAATCAAAAGAATTCATTTCAATTAAACCATAATTTGGTACCTATTTTTAAAACGTCAACAAATATAAAATAAATAATAATAAGTCAGTCCGCCCGTCCGTGAAGCTCGGTGCTCGTTCCAAAATGTAGATTCGAGTGGAGAAGAACGAGTAAGAAACTCAATAATCCATGTAGCTCTTGTTACATAACAATATGAGACATCTCAATGGTGACCATGAGTCCATGAGGTAATTTATAGTGGGGTAAGAATTAACCCTACACTCCTTATTCTTGCCCTTTTCTCGCGGAAAGCTAGGCTGCCTTTTGGTTTTCCTTCCTATCATAAAGACGAGGATTAGACAGGCGCAGTGGACGGCATTGTTGTCAGATTTGGCAAGAGTCTCGAAATATTTAAAATAATTACCTACTACTACTACTACCTATTTACTATCTAAGCCCCAAATATTAAACATCCATTCATGCAAGGTACCTAGTTAGTCTTGATTTCCGGACCGAACGAAACATATTTTTTACAAGACTTTCTTTAATTTCTCTTGACCTACGTCTATTTTGATAGCACTTTGTGTAGCCGACGTCACAGGTAAGATACTCAATGATTTTTTTTCTAAAGCTCTTCCCGCCGAAACGAGCACGCGATCGCTCGGGCGCCATGTTGCTTCTTTTTTTTAAACCGCAGTTGCGTTCGGTTACAGCCCAAGGCGAAAAACAGTCACTCAAAAGTCACGCGCTCAAAAATAATAATAATACAACTAAAAAAAAAACAACGAAGGATTTTGAATGATACAGTTTTTTCGGTAAATTAGAGATTTGGAAGAGGAATAGTTTTTTAAGAAATTGCGTGCCCGACTTTCCGTAATGATACGTCTGGTGTGCTGCGGTGATTTTTGACTTTGCCCGCGCGGTTTTCTTTTTTTCTGTATCATAAACGCTAAGGTAGGGTTTGACTACGTTTTCGTTGGTTTGGGCTCAATTATATAGGTCGTATTAGCTATTATTATACCTTTTGTTTGCGGTAAGTTTTTGGGGAAGCAATTAAAGTACCCATGTTACTGTTTTCTAAAGTTAGGTTATTTTAAAGGCCCCATTGGCAGGGTGAGCGCATGAACGGCTACTGTCTATGAGCTTCTAACTTCGTGTGAGTTTGGTTAGTAAAATTGAGAACTTTGACATGAAATGTACTATTTAGCCACTCATTTGCTTTTTAGATCTTTTCTTTTATGGCATAACCCGGTAAACGAGCTGACGGATCACCTGATGGTAAGCAATCGGCGCCGCCCATGGACACCTGAACCACCAGGGCGTTACAAATGCGTTACTAGCCTTTTGGGAATTGGGAATTTGAGGATTGTGTAGGATTCGGAGTTTGGGGAGACTGGAGGGGGGAGGATGTAAGTCGGCCTCCGGTAACCTCACTTACACTACGAAACACAACATATGCGTTGTTGCACGTCGGTTTTCTGCTCGGCCGTGGTATCACTTCGGTCGAGCCGACCCATTCGTGCCGAAGCATGGCTCTCCCACATTGATAAAGACATCTACTAGACAAGGCCTTTTTGAAAGACAAAAATCGTAAATGAATACCCTCCTTTTGGCTTCGCCGTAGTCGGGTAAAAATGATTCCTCTCTCCCTAAGCGAGGCGCGAAGAAGTGTGTGAAAAACCACCTTAACCACCCCGTACCTCCTCTTGCTTCGAGCTAAAGCCCTGGTACCTGTAACATAACATACCATCACACCTTTTATCCCCGAAGAGGTAGGCAGAGGTGCACATTACGGTACTTAATGCCACCTTACAATAAAGCACCATCTTTTACACTATTTAGAATATGAGTCCCATGTAATAGGGGGTGAGCCTATTGCAAAATCGTAAATTAATATACCGGGCACATTTCCAGACACCGTGCTACTACTGAGATTTCTTTTTAAAAACCCCAGTAATACTTTGCCCGACCAGGAAATCGAACCCGAGATCCATTGCCCGTCATTCGCAATTGCGACCTCTCGGGCATCAAGGCAGTCCTGGTACATGTAGTCTGATTATACCTCTATATTCATACATACCTAATCTTTCTCTTTGCTAATACTATTGCTTAGTCCACTATGTCTAGATAAAAAAATATAGCACAAAATAACTCCATTGCAACCTGAAAGAAAGACAAACCAACTTACCTAGGTACTTTATTACGTTTTCAGTGATTGAGTAGTTAGCGCAGTAGTTGAGCATCCGGCTGCTGCGATTTTATATCGCAAGTTTGATTCACACACGAAATAACTATTTGTGTGATGAAGCGTGATTTACAAAATGTTCTTTATTTATTCATTTAAACTGTCAAACACCAAGCGGTCACCGGTGACCGCAACCTATTGTTCTATAATTGTGTCTATAATGATGGTAGGTACTCGACGAGTTAAATCAGACAGGCAGTTGAGACAACTGATAAATGCCCGTATCGAACTGGTTAACATTCTGTGCAGTGTGTTGTTATTATGTTATTCCAAGTCTGTAAACTATAGAGTAAGTTAAAGTATCTACCACATTACAAGGTCACGGTGCTCTTTCTATGTCCAAATGTTAGTTAGTATGTTAGCACGACTAAAACGACGAGACCGGAGAGACATCAAGACTAAACGGTAAAGACAACTGTAATAGAAAATTATTTATTATGATATACTTACTATAATGTATTTATTTTATGGCTTAAACTCAATAACAACAAAACTTTTTGAGTTAGGTATTTATTTTATTATTGTTAGAGTTTGTTCGCCAACTATTTTTGAATAGCAATAAGGCAAGCTGCCGCAGTAAATTAATAAAATAACAGGCGCTAATTCCAATAAGCCTAAGCTTCTTTGTCTATTATTGATTTTTTTTTATTTCTTCTTTATTCCATTGAGATACATGCAACATTGAATATTGTTAGGTAAGTAGGTAGACTTTTCAGCGGACGTAAAAGTCCTTCCTTGATTATTTTTATTTGCACAATGGATGCATTCAATAATATTTTAAAATTTTAGTTCAATATCCGACTTGTCAATACAACAGAATTTTTATAGCTAAAATATTTAGATGATTTTGTTATTAAATGTTACTTAATTAAATGGCTTAGTAAAAAAAATACATACGTAAAAATAAAGACAATATTGAACGCATCCCATTTTGACATTCACACATCGCACATGACATGAAAAAGACAGTGACAACTTTATCAAAACATTATTCCTTTACAGTTTACAGAAGCGGTTGTTACTTGTTGTGCCGGTATTATAAATTCATAAATACAAGAATGGCTACTCGCAATATCTTGAAACTGGGAGCTCTAGAGGCTCAGAAGACCGCGTTCCTACTATGCGACATCCAGGAAACGTTTAGACCACACATAAAATACTTTGGAGAAGTTGTTAAAGTCGCGAATAAAATGGTAAGGTGTTTTATTGAAGATTGTTACGTAATATCTGTTGATATCCGCTTGTAATCTACTGTAATATACTTAGTGGTTGTTCGATAAGATATTTGTGAAGATCTTTCGTGTTTAAACCGAGACACTGATAAAAGATGATTGAAAACGTCTGTTTGTACGTTAAATCTTGTTATGTTAATGATTTTCAGACTTTAACCCTAGAAAGATAACCTACGCTTCAGAGGCGCCCTCGTCGGTTTAACATCGCTGTCTTTTTCTAATGAGCGCGCGTATCTACCTGTCCTTTTAAGTTAGCTCGGTGGTCGGTGCACTGAGTCGCGGGACGGCCGTTTTTACGCGGTAAGTACCATAGTTTTGCAGTTATGACTTAGTGTTGCGCTCCAAAGGCGCATGGTTATCTTTTGTGTGACTTTTAGTAAAAGTATGAACTTGTTTATACTTACATAAAATGTTTATTTTAACTGTTTATTTCTTAGTTTTTAGTAGAAAATCTTTTCACTTTCATTATGACGCGCTAGAGGACACTTTCTGATGATGCAATACATAGGTTTATCGCTGAAGAGGAAGAGAACGAGCATGAACGAGAGCAAGGAAATGACAGTGAGACAGAAGATAATTTGAGTGAAGATGACATACAGAGTGATTACGAAGACGAGTTTATAGATGATGAGGTGCCACAACAATTGAATGATACACAAAATGAAGACGATATAAGTCCATCTGTATCTTCAGAGCTCACTGGAATTTCGACCAAATGTGTTCTTCAATGTCGTGTTCGAGGAAAACAAATAGATGGCCAATGTGTATGTTTTATGGCATTCTGAACATAGTATTCGTCAATTCTTATGTTATATATTGTCACAACATTCTTGCTAAAAATGAAAAGCCTCTAAATAGAAGGGGTTATATGAAAAACTTAAGAGCCCAGTTATCTGAATCATGGATGTAGGAAAGACTGGAAGCTCCTACTTTGCCAAAGCATGTGAGATATAATATCGCTAATATTCTTCCGAAACCGGTTGTACATAACGATACAGATAACGAAGAAGAACCTCCAGCAAAGAAAAGGCGGTATTGCACCTTTTGCACTAATAAAAAAAAGAATGTCTAATATAAAAAAGCAAGAAAACAGTTTGCTGCGAACACAAAAATGATGTTCGTTTTGAATGCCTATCAAACCAAATTTGAGCCTAACGATTGTAGTTTTGACAATTTTTTTTAGTTGATTAGTTAGTAAGAAATGACTTAATTCGTTTATAAGAAGAAAAAACAATTTTTTTTTGATACTGTGTTCCTGTAAACAGAAGACTGCTAATTTTGGTAATTTTTTCTAGAGATTTTTTGATTTAAGTTTTATTTTTAAAATATTTAAAATATTCCACTTAAAACGTTTTTTTTATTAGTTCATGAAACATATTTCAAAAAAAGTAAGTAAGTAAATACAATAAATAGGTATTTAATTATAAAAAATATATTAATATTTTGTGCGCCTCCGAAGCGCATGGTTATCTTTTGTAACAGTCAAAATATGGTTATCTTTCTAGGGTTAAGTACTTTAAAATGCACTGAGTAAAGGTCAAAGGTTTTTGCGAGTTCTAGAAGTAACATATATAATAAAATTATGTTGATTTTTATTATTACATTTACTATTAGGTACATGGGACTCATAACATAAATACCTAGTGAAAAGTGGGTGTTACTTCTGTGTGCACCTCTGCCTACCCCTTTGGGGATAAAAGGCGTGATGTTATGTATGTATGTTGATTTAATCCCAGAAGGGGGTTTTTTTTAATGGGGGAAAATCATCGAATGGCTGCTCCCGCCTGGGTGAGACGGGAGGGAGTGTCAGACTCTTACTGACTAAAAACCACCCCATTCCTTCTCCTGCATGTCGAGCCGGAGCCCCGGTTACCCGTTAGGTTCTCCGCGACATCCCAGAAGGGGTAGACAGAAGTGCATATTTGCAATGTAACATTCACTTTTCTTAGATGTTGAATCCTATGTAATCCCCTATTCAGCGTTAAGCGTAATACGACAATTATACCGACTACAATTCCAGACAATACTGTTTCTGAGAATTTTATAATAAGTATAAAGAACTGTAAGACATTAATGCTTTGCCCTACTCGGGAATTATTATTTGCTGCCTCTTGTTACTTAGCCTAACTCAGATATCGAACCTGAAACCCCTTCTTTGGCAGTCCTACCTAGTACTGAAGTAGAAACCTCAACTAGGCAAACTTAGTGTAGGGTGTCCTCCAGCTATGTGGAATGAGGTTATCAGCAAGACCACTGGTAGTGGTTGGATGCGTAGAGCTGCAGATTGAGCTCAGTGGTGTGCCATTGGAGAGGCCTATGTCCAGCAGTAGATGAGAACAAGCTGTTGATGATGACCTAGTACCAAATGGGTTGCTGGGGCTCCGGCTCGAAGTGCAGGAGTAGGAACGGGGTGGTTTCTAGTAAAAGTCTGACACTTCCTTCCGGCTCACCCAAGCGGGAGAAGCCATTCAAGATTTTCCCTTTTAAAAAAAAACTACCATTTTACATTTTAGTACCACCATGGGCATGTTGTCACCCTGTTGCTCGTTTATTTAATTTTTTTTTATATTGTTATTTGCTTGTGCTTGTTTTTTTTATGTAATTATTGTTTTTTAATTTTGTATTTATATTTTATTTTATGTTTGTATATTTGGTGCCTTGGCGGGTTATGCCTAATAACGAATAAATTATCTTTCTTACTTTCTTTCATTTGACATATAAGACAGCCAAGTACAAACAAAATATTTTCAATAAATTCCAGGTAGAAGCAGCAAAACACTTCAAAATACCTGTATATGTCTCCGAGCAGTACCCAAAGGGTCTCGGTCACACCACGAAGGATATCAATATATCTGAAGCAGCACTTGTCTACCCGAAGACTAAGTTCTCCATGTATACCCCGGAGTTGGAGGAGAAGTTGAAGCAGGACGTACCTGATCTAAAATCAGTGGTGTTGTTTGGTATTGAGGTAAGATTATTATGCACTTAAAACTATTTATCCAAAGTATTAATATTCTAAATGTGTAAGTCTTATTTAGTTGTAGTGGTGGCCCGGAGGTTTAAGACGCCCGCTTCTAATGCATGAGGGCACCCTCGGGTTCGAAACCTACCAACGGCAAGTACCAATGTGACTTTTTCCAAGTTATATGTACTTTCTAAGATTATTTAGACACCACTGGCAAACGGTGAAGGAAAAACATCGTGAGGAAACCTGGACTTATAATTTCTAATTATAAGTTTGAAATCGCCAACCCGCATTGAGCAAGCGTGGTGATTAATGCTCAAACCTTCTCCGTGTGAGAGGAGGATTTGCTCAGCAGTGGGCATTTATAGGCTGTTGATGATGATGAAGTTATTTGTTACTTCTTGTCTCTTTATATAGGTGGTACCTTCTCAATATATAAACTTGAATATTTGCTTAAAATTAAAATATTGTTGGGAGTATCGAGAAGAATCTTTCATGGGTTTCTATTGATTCATGTGGTCAAAGTTAGCATATGACTAATGCAACATCACAGTCCTTGAAAATAAAGGTAAACAAGCAGACGGATTACCTGATGGTAAGCTATCGTCGCCGCCCATGGACTCCTGGAACACCAGAGGTGTTTTGGGAATTAGGAATTTGAGAATTGTTGGGAATTGGGGGAAGGGGGAGGGGGGTGATTGGGACTCCTATAACCTCACTCACACGATGAAACACAAGGCAAACGTTGTTTCACGTCGGTTTTCTGTGAGTTCGTGGTATCACTTCGGTCGAGTCGGCCCATTCGTGCCGAAGCATGGCTCTCCCACACTTGTTATTCTATGTACAAGAGGCCTATATTAAGATATATCATGTTACAATTACAATAGACATAATTTAAGACTCCACGCTATTGCTAAGAAAGTTTTGAAGAATCAAAAAATCCCAATCAGAATCAAACAAAGTCGCTTTCTCTGTCCCTATGTCCCTTTGTATGCTAAATCTTTGAAACTACTCAACGGATTTTGATGCGGTTTTTTTTAATAGATAGAGTGATTCTTAAGGAAGGTTTGTATGTATAATACATGCATATTGCACCCGTGCGAAGCCGGGGCGGGTCGCTAGTTATCAATACATAGTATAAAACAAAGTCACTTTCGCTGTATGTCCGTATGTATGCTTAGATCTTTAAAACTACGCAACGGATTTTGATGCGGTTTTTTTTAATAGATAGAGTGATTCTTAAGGAAGGTTTGTATGTATAATACATGCATATTGCACCCGTGCGAAGCCGGGGCGGGTCGCTATTTATCAATACATAGTATAAAACAAAGTCGCTTTCGCTGTATGTCCGTATGTATGCTTAGATCTTTAAAACTACGCAACGGATTTTGATGCGGTTTTTTTTAATAGATAGAGTGATTCTTAAGGAAGGTTTGTATGTATAATACATACATATTGCACCCTTGCGAAGCCGGGGCGGGTCGCTAGTTATTATAAATAAAGTGAAAATAATTTATTTTAACATTTTGAATCAAATTAACTCCACAATCACAGTTGACCAACGAAGTAGCCTTGCAAAACAATTGCCTTACAATAAAATTCAATCATGGTCTTATCTTCTAACCTACCTCTGAATAACTGAACTCACATTAATTAACTATTTTAATTAAATTACTTTGTTACCATTCCAGACACATGTCTGCATAGAGCAGACCGTGATAGACCTACTGAGTAAGGACATTGTGGTGCATGTACTGGCTGATGGAGTGTCTTCCCGGTCTCTACTGGACAGGGGACTGGCTTTGCAGGTACAGAAACAATTTCATTTTATTTTTACCGACTGCCTCGTTGGCCGAGTGGTCGCAAGTGCGACTGCCGGTCAAGGGGTCTCGGGTTCGATTCCCGGGTCGGGCAAAGTATTACTGGGTTCTTAAAAAATTCTCAGACTCCGTGAGTCTGGAAATGTGCCCGGTATATGGCAATAGGTTCACCCCCTATTACATGGGACTCATAACATAAATAGTGAAAAGTGGGTGTTACTTCTGTGTGCACCTCTGCCTGCCCCTTCGGGGATAAAAGGCGTGATTTTATGTTTATTCATTTTATTTTTAGCCATGATCGTCTCACTGCAGGGCGAAGGCCAAAAGGAGATATGGAGCTAAATACACAGCTATATGGTAACCGCAGAGTAGAATACATTGTTTTGTTATCAATACTGTTATTGAGAATATCTGTATCAAATTTTGAATCAGGATTAGAAGTCTTAACAGTGCTTTTTATCGAAATCAGTCGTAATAGTTTTACTGTTTTATTATCAAACTAGCTTTTATCCGCGGCTTCGCTCGCGTCACAAAAGGATAAAAGTAGCCTATACCAATACACACAGCGCCATCTATACCAATTCTTTTGTTTTCCCTCGGGAATACCAAAATTTTCCGGGATAAAAAGTACCCTATTATTTAATCCGGACTTCTAATTTTACGCCTGCAAAAATTCAAAGCAATCGGTTTAGAAATTACGGCGTGAAAGCGGAACAAACAAACAAACAAACTCACTTTCCCATTTATTATAGTAAGGATGATATTCCTTCTAGACGTGGCAACCAGTATTTTGCCAACCAAATCAGTTTTACTTATCTTACCTTTTTAATTGTTCTAGCGTTTTCAATCCATCGGCTGCTTCGTGGGCACCTCAGAAAATGTCCTCTTCAAACTAATGAGGGACAAGAACCACCCTGTATTCAAACAAATATCTAAACTAAACATGGTACCTACCTCTGACGAATTTGGAATGGCACAGAAAAGTCAGATCTAATATTCATATGATTAAAGTGCAATTTTGTATGCAGTAAGTTGACAACATTTATATGGTACAGGTGGTGATGAGTTGATTAAACACATTTTGTTTACTAGAAAAAATAAATCGAATCAAAATATTGTATGATGTCACGTTTTTATACTTAGTTGTGACGTAACAAAATCACTACTCCTTTAAAATACTACGTTCGGTCAGTGTTCCAAAGTGGTTGGCCTCGGAGGCTTCTCCATTTTTCGTGAATCTTGGGCGGTTTCTCGTCAATACCTTTAAAATGGTAGCATGCAAAATAGTTTGATATTAGATGCAAATGTCTAAGGGCCAATTTTTCCAACACTAGATAAATTTTAACTGAGGAATACGTCAGAATATTTGACAATTCTTCCATACTAAAAACTATCAATTTTATTGTGCAGTTAAAAATTAACTGATATGATTGAAAAATCGACCCTAAAGCCCCTTACGCACTAGCGGTTGACCGCCTGGGCGGTTCGTATGGACAGACGCGGTTGCCATAGCTAGTATATTTAATTGGAATGGCGGTTAATCGCAGGGTGCGGCTAGCCGCGCGGTTGACCGCTAGTGTATAATAATGATAATAAAAAATAAGTATTTCGTCCCAATCCAATTAGAAAAATGGTTTTAGAAAATTCAATAGAACTCAAAATTTTTGTTATGTCAATGTACTGCTTACAAATTAATGTCATTGCTGAATTTGTTTTTCCATAATGAAAACTTTGTTGATCAGTCGTATCACATTTAGAAATTATTATTAAGAACAATTTGTTTTATGATATTGTTATCAAAATCGTTGACTAAATATTATTTTTTTGTTTTTGTTTAACAGTTAATTAGTAGCTTGTTTTTAGAGTTTATTTTTGAACTACCTTGTTGGTCAAGTCAAAATTAAGTCAAACATCGTAGATTCGATTCTCAAGTAAGGGGGGGGGGGGATCATGCAATATCTTCTCCCGCCCAGGTGAGGCGAGAGGGAGTCTCAGACTCTTACTGACTAAAAACCACCCCGTTCCTACTATTAACCCGTTAAGCCCTCCGCGGCTCCTTCAAGTAAAGCTAGCAGGCCAATTCCTAATAACCAAAAGTCCGGTAACGCCTGTAGTGTTCCAGGTGTCCATGGGTGACGCCGATTGCTTAGGTGATCCGTCTGCTCGTTTACCGGCTTGTACCCATAAAAAGGGTATCATAATACTAATTCATATTTTATCTAGAAAATTAGATTTTTCAAATTGACCAACGAGGTAGTTAATTATTGTAGTAGGCACGTAGCATTTATATAAAAAAATCAAAAACTTAATCTACCTAAGTGCCTATTAAAAAAAATTGTTTATTCTTAGTTAAATATAACAACTCTTGCGCACATTGTAACAAAATCAAAAAATTTTGAAAACTCTTTATTAGGTCATAAGACTGATGCTTAAAATTAATCAAAAATATTTGGAAATAAAGATATTATGTTTATATAATTAAAATGTGTTTATTTATTTTTTTTTTCCATCCGTAATAATAGTTTTCATGGAGCGAAAATAGTTCTTATGTATATTTACATAGGGCTCCTTTTACAACGATAAAACCCAGTGATGTGTCAGATAAATTAAATTGATAGATACCTAACAATCATTAAAGACACAGATCCAGTAGCTATTGTACTGAGAATTATTATGGGATACTGCATCCGAACCCGGGAATCGAACCCAAGACCCATTGTTAGGCAGTCGTGTTAGCTACACAAGGTGACAAACTTGATTAATTTTCCATTTAAAAGTATAGAACTTAAATAAGATTATTTATTTACGTTAACTTACAAATAAAGACATTTAATACATAATAGTAATTAATATTATATTAAATTCATATAATTATACGAAAGTCATTCAAATAGGGACATAATTTATTTCAAAAGCGACCATTTTAGTTGCTCCTTCGCCGATTGTAACACCTGCAAATAAGAAAAAGCTAACGTAGGTATTATATTACATAATATTACGGCTTTAATCTTCAGAGGGGATAGGCAGGGGCACATACCTAACACGTTTATAGACTAGCATTTCGCCAGTCATAATAAAGACTTGGCTACGTGAGCGGTCTAGAAGCGGTGACACATGAATTCAATGCGATGCGATGCGGCGGCTTTTTTTTGAGGGGGGGAATATCATATGACTTCTTCCGCCCAGGTGAGGCGATAGGTAGTGTCAGACTCTTACTGACTAAAAACCACCCCGCTCCTACTCCTGCACTTCGAGCCGGAGCACGGGCAACCCGTTAAGTCTAGGTACCGCGGCTCTGTGGCATCAGCCCTGTTGGGCCCCATCTGTGGTGGTCTGATGGCTCCTTGAGGTGTATGTCCTATTTGTAGACGAATCGTTTCATTTTACCAAACAACAACATGGCAGCACCGCAACTAAATATGACAGTTCGCGCGATAATATCAAACCGACTGATCGCGACCGCGTCATTTCGCGCCGAACGGCACCGCCTCTCACGGGCGTATTGTCACGTGGGACACTTCAATAGGTTTCGATAGTTTGTCGTTTTCACGCCGCGCCGCATGGCTTCGCATTCGCTTCTAGATCGCTCACGCAGGACGTAGCGTCACAAACACTTATATTGTACTTAATTTTCGACTCTACAGAATTTTCTAAATACACTTAGCGAGCAAAGAAATGGAGCCACTAGCATTTCTTCTTTTCATTTCTTGATAAATATTTTCCCATACAATAGGGTAGTTCCTAAACTTTATTTAAATGTCCGTCTGGTACATTAATTTAAAACTTTAGACACGTATTTTTTCTCGTATTTCTTCTTTCGACGATATATTAATTTGAAATATCGTGTGACGTCACAGCGTGCCACATTTTGTAGCACGTTATGACGTAACAACCTCCCACTCCTAAACTTAGCGCCATTTTATCTAAGTATTGCAACAATACGAACAAATAAAAAAATACGTGTCTAATATTTTTTCATTATCTAACTGACGGACTAATTAGATTTTTAATTTTGATACCCTGGAAACTACTCAATTAATTTATTAAGTGGTAACGTATGTCGTGTAAAAGGTAATTTAGTTACCTTTAAAATGACAGCATTTTGTTGTACTTATATATTTTTTAAAGTTATAGAGGGTTCGATAATATGAAAATATAAACGCCTGTGGCGTCGTCTTTGCTCGTAAGTGTATAATTAGCTTGGCTAGGGAATCAAACCCAACATCTCATTAGTAGTTTAAGTAGGCTTCCTATTGCACTTCTGTAGGTATCCAACTACATACTTGTACACGCCCATTTTATAATAAGGCTTTTGTACTAAATAGAAAAATATATAGAAAAATATATAGGACTATATCGCCTCTAATTCTCTAAAGAGGTCAGTAAAAATATACCTATTATTAGTATTTATATTACTACCAATCATGTTCTTAAGAAATGTGATAATATACAAAGGGGAAAACCCAACAATAGTACTTGATCTAGATCTCAATGTAATGGGGCCTATCGTATTTCAGGTCACCGTCAGGCAATAGTCATAGTTAAAAAGTTAGATGAAAAAAGCAAATGCTTGTGCATTTTTCTGGATCTTTCGAAAACTTTTGACACGGTCTCTGTCCCGATTCTCCTTGCTAAATTAAATAAACTGGGCGTACGAGGTATCACTCACAACATTTTTGAAATCTACCTAACAAATAGGAAACAACGTGTGAAAATAGGAAGTCATGAAAGTGATGAGGCTGAAGTCACTTATGGCGTGCCACAAGGGAGTATTCTAGGCCCTACCCTTTTTCAGATCTATATCAATGACCTCTGCCAAATTACTCTTCCAAATACTAACATATACACCTACGCAGATGACACCGCCATATTTGTTTGGGGTCCAAACTGGAACACGGTTAAGGAAACGGCCGAATACTCCTTATCTAAAGTGATGGAGTGGCTCTCTGTTAACCTGTTAACATTAAATGTTAACAAAACTCATTTTATGGCTTTCTCCATTCGTAAAAATACAGCCCCACCACGTGACTTCTCCATCAAAGCTCACATTTGTCACTCTCGACAGATGGACTGTGCCTGCGAGGTAATAGCTAGGGCAGAAAGCGTCAAATACTTGGGTGTTACCTTGGATGATCGACTGAGATGGGATAAACAGATAGATACTGTAACCTCCAGAGTGAGAAGGCTAATACACATATTTAAACATCTAAGAAATTCTGCCCCAACAGATAAATTAAAATTCGTCTATTTGGCTCTGTGTCAGTCCATCATCCAATACTGCATACCGGTTTGGGGAGGGGCAACCAAAACGCTTTTCCTTATGCTTGAGAGAGCACAAAGAGCTGTACTGAAAGTGATGACCAAAAAACCATACAGATATCCCACCGCAAAATTGTACTTAGAATGTAAGGTATTAACAGTCAGACAGCTCTTTGTGCTCAAATCTACTTTGAGAAGGCATAGGAATGTTCCACTACCGAATCCAAACAGACGCAGTAAGATGCCAGTATGCCCGCAAATCCCCACCAATACTACTTTTGCCAGAGGACAGTTCAATAGTCTCAGTTGCAAGCTCTACAACAAAATTAATAAAAACCTGAACATCGTACGACTCAGCCGAAAAGAAGTCACAAGAAAAATCAGTGATTGGCTTCAGCAAATTGATTACAATGAAACTGAAGGTTTACTTACGAATATATCATAACCGACACACACATACACACACTCACACACACACACACTCACACATACACACACACACACACACACACACACACACACACAATTCCGGAAAATTAACCTAAGTAGTCCTTTTAACATTCCCTTTATATTTTATTATTTTGTTTTGGATTACAGCTCCTCCCATTTCATTCATTCACTTTCATGACATTCACTTCATTATAGAGTGACATATAATGCGACTTTGTGACATACTCCACGCTTGAATCACTGTTTTCCAAAATACAAGCTTATAGCTTAGTTTGGAGGGCAGTGTCAGTATCGATCGTAATTCACACTCGTTCATGTAATTGCCGCATTTCTGTGAATGTAATATTGTGAAATTTTGTACAATAAACAATTTTTATTTATTTATTATTTATAGTGTGAACCTCTCGTATTCGTCCTATAGGGAATTAGGTACTTGCCACCTAGTCAAATTCAATATCTTTTTCGAACTGTCAAAAACGAGGTTTTTCTATGAATATCATACGAGATTGTGTATTGTGACGTCACATTTTTTAGAGTCAAACAGCTAACTTATTTCTTAAAAATTTACTGGAAAAATATTTAAATTAAGTTGGTCATAAAATCAATTCGATGGGTAACGGACTATTTGGTTTAACTCGTCGAGTACCGTCATTATATACACAATTATAGAACAATAGGTTGCGGTCACCGGTGATCGCTTGGTGTTTGACAGTTTAAGCGAAATTTTGGACGATATTGAGCTATTATATTTATTCGACGGAGAAAAATTCGCTGATTCTGAATATATATATATAACTCAATATCGCCCAAAATTTCGCTTAAACCAAATAGTCCGTTACCCCTCGAATTAATGAATATGTGATTATTTTTTTATATTATATTGTATTGAATAATCGAAATAATTTATTTTTGATTAAGGAAAGTACCCAATTGTCTAGTGCAACACCATTGGACGTTTAAAATTTGACAGCTGCTATGATTGGACTAAAATCCTCTTAGTACATTTACGCAACATGGTGAGCAAAAATGCGGTAAGCTCCATTATCTATTTAATGCTACATTCTGATACGTCCTCCAATAGATACTTATAAGAATGTAAGAGCGACATTGTAGAACATACATTTTTAAAAAGAGTAACGAATGGAGTTTCTTTCTCGTTCTTGTCCATTCGAATCTACAATTTGGAATGAGCGCCTAGCTTCACCTAGCTTCACTGACGGACTGACTATGATTTATTTTGTATTTGTTGACGTTTCAAAAGTACTAAATTATGGTTTAATTGAAAGAAATGTTTAGACTGTGACTTTATTTGTGTGTAGTTCGATTTTATGTTTATTTCTTTTGTTTTTTAAAAAAACGTTACCAAATACTAGGATTTTCTCCTATGTCGTGGGTGCGTTTACAAACATACAAGTTCACATACACATGACAATGGAACAACAATCTGTGGATCACACAGACTTGTTCCGTGCGGGAATCGAACGCCGCAGCCGTTTATTTGTAAAAACAAGCTTAAGTTTTGTAGTTGCATGTGAAATTTCGTTGTATTTGGGCACTATTTGAAAGTGGGGTTTTAAGTGCAAAAAGGCCGAGTCTTTTTTTAATGGGACAAGCCCGCCACACCCTGCCAAAACCGCTGCAACTCCTGTAAGCCAGGATCTGCAGTAGATACAACCATGAAAACACCGGACCACTGAAGTCCGGCGCGTCCCAGGGACATGAGTAACTGTCTTGGTTCCCGCAACGAAGTGAATCAGAAGATATTATAAGAGGAGAAGAAAAAACTATAGTTTCCACTTCCCTCGGTGAATTACTGCAGGAGACAGAATGAATTAAGCCTAAAGGCACAAAGAAGAGACTGTACAACTAGGTGAAGCCCAGTCGCCAAGCAGCACGGAAATTTGACTAAAAACTATGGCCGAGTCTATTTATTTCAAAAGAAAAATTGTTAAGTGCTTATGGTTGATAAAAATAAAACTATGGGACTAAAATTCAAAAGCTGAACTAAATTCCAAGGTAAAACTTCAATACTACTTTATGAATGAAAATAAACCTTATAATTTCATAATTACAGACCACTTTACGATTTCAAATAAGCAAATATTCGTACCTTACACCAATGAAAAAACTCTAATGCATTTTTAATGAAATTGTAATGTATAGTGTAACAAGCAAAAAAAAAAAATTTAAAAAAATCAAGCGTCCATTACAAAGCGATATACAGCCAATGAAGGGGTTGCCAATGAGAAAAAAAAATGAAAAAAATAATGTTAGTAAATATATTTTTAATAAGCAACTAAATAACTACTAATTTATACAGATAACATCGTACGTATTCACAACTATGTATTTGCCCCGTATTCGCTTACATATTCATTATGTTCTGTAGAATCTGAAATTTTCAATAAATAAAAATTGTTTCAATAAAGAACAAAAAAAAACTAAATTTTCTAAAAAAAAATCCCCGTGAAAAAGTGACCTTTAAAAATCGTGAATCTAATGAATATATAAAACAATAATCCCATGTTATTAATAATAAAATACACTTAATAATATTATTAAATAAAAAAAACAACCAAAACACACAAGTAAAACAAACCACCCAAAGTAAAAAAACAAAAAAATTAAATAAAATGTATTTATTCAATAAAAAACTAAAACATAAATAAACAAAAATATTACTTCTTAAAGAATTTAAACTACAAGAAATATATAAAATAAAGTGAATATTATCTAAATAAAACAACTAAGTAAATATTAATATTTTACGAATTAATAACATTATTTTGGTTTATTTATTATAATAATGTATTTTATTCAATAATATACTAATAAAGGGCAAACAAATATATATTTTCAACCTAACATAATTATACTAAAAACAAAAGTAAAAAAAAATGATTCGATTAAAATTATAAGTGACCTTAAATGAAAGGTGCAGGTGACAAAAAAAGTGAAGTGAAAAAAAAACTGGCAAAATCAACAAAAAGTATACGATAAAAATAAACTTGATCACTTGTGGTGTTTAACGGCCATTTTCTATAACTTATTTATATTTATTATATTTGCTTACTGAGATAGACACATTTTGTATGGATCTTATGTCAAAATCCTATCTCAGTAAGTAAATCTACAGATAGATAGGTTATAGAAAATGGCCGTAAGTCAAAAAAGGAAGTTCAAAAAGTAATGGCCGAATACTGACTCTTTACTCAATTTTAAACTGTCAAACACCAAGCGGTCACCGGTGACCGCAACCTATTGTTCTATAATTGTGTCTACAAAACCGGTACTTGACGAGTTAAGTATAGTTCTGTCGCTGCAAATTCCTTGTAAAATGACAGAGACAGCACTATATTTAAGTACAATACAAAATTTAGCCTTTCAGTATCTGGACGTAAAACAGTCGTAAAGTTGTTTTACGTTTAAAGTAATCGAAACGATACCGCGTTCGTCGCTCTGATTGGCCGGCTTCAATGAAACCACCAATCAGAGCGCTGAACGCGGTCTCTAAGCTCTCAGGTTGAAGTTTAAGTTCTAGAAATTGACTAAAGCGCTAAGTATATTTATGGTGGCTGGTACACAAGCTGTGCAATATAAAATGAGGTGTGTAGCAGTGACCAAAAATCTATATATATATATATAAAAATGAAACCCGTTTCCCGTTGTCACGCCATAACTTGAGAACGGCTAGACCGATTTGGCTGTTTTTTTTTGTTGTGTTTGTTATTGTCAGGAGAAGGTTCTTAAAACAGATGAAATCCTGAAAATCCTACGGGAACGGGAGAAAACCGGATTCCGCGTAAGTAGTCGCGGGCAGAAGCCAGTTCTAAACATAATAATGTAACTAATTTCCGAGCCTCCTAAGGTGGAAAGTCTTCTTGGGAAAGGGTCAGACTGTTAACTGATCAAAACTTAAGCGGTCAACATTATATACCTTATTTCTGATGTTTAGAGATTACTTTTGTATGACCGAATTTTTAAATTTATATGAAGTGACTAAAAACTATACATACATCATCTACATCCGTATATCTACACATTCAGTTTTGTTTATTTATGATGTAAATGATAACAAATATTTTATTTTTCCATTCGCTTCAATCACACGTCATCACATCACAATTCCTTTTATATATAAGTAACTCTCTTTTACATTCTATTCATAGTCTATTTGTCACTCTAACACCTTCATAGAGATCACAAATAATTGAATCGAATACAGCTAATACAACTATCGATATCGACATACAACGTTAGAACGGTGGTACAACACTACAAAGTTGTTAGATACAGGAAAAGAAATTAATTTACAAAGACCACCACCAGTGGTGTCAATGAGCCAATTTGTTGTCGATCCGATTAATCAGATAAAAAAATCGATTACCCCGAATAATCGGATAAAAAAATCGGTGGATATTTTTTGACGATTTTCCGTATCTATCAACTAGAAACCATACCCAGTGCAGACAAACAGACTACCAGAACATTTTATTGACTTGTTCCATTACCTGTGCTACGGTTTGCTCGCCTAGCGGTACGTCTTCGGTCCGTAGTGCTGCGCGTCCAACTATCGATGTTGGGTCCGAGTCCAGAATCACTCTGGAATAAAAGTGAAAATGGAATTAAAGTATGGACAAATCATTCCAGTAAAACGCATTTCTTTATGAAACATTAATTTTACGAAGTCTGTGATGTAGATAGGATATTTTTTCATTCACATTTGTATTATCATATTTTTAAGGCATAAGCCGGTAACCGAGTAGACGGATTACCTGGGCCCCAAGTCTGCTAATTTACGAATGGCTCAATTGAATATCAATTGAATCTCAGTAGCAGTTTTATCTACATTTGGTATTCTGCTATTAATTTAAGACCAATGGTTTTCCAGTGACATACCATTGAACTGCTATCGGAATATTTGCTAGTCTGCTCTTCAATCGTGTTACAGTTGTAAATCGATTGTGGTCTAAATCGGTATTCTACTCTTAGTTGACGTTTGTTTGACATTTATTTCAATGGACACTCAGTGTCAATTTTGCAATTGAAGTACGATCGTAGTACGATTAGACAACAATAGATATTTATAGTACTTTGCAAGCCACCACTTGACAAAATATATTTAAAAGATGCTGCGGTCATTGTTACGATAGCGTATTTTAGCATTAGGTAATGCGCAAGATCGCCGTCGTCACCTTTTTTAATACATCTTAAAATAAAAATAATTTAAAACTAAAATATTTACACCTTAAAAAAATAATAAAAATACATCATAATGCATCAAAGAAAACATTTTTCTCATCGCTACCGTGAGGTAGGGTGCCCAAAAGACTGGCAGCATTGCCACGTTGAATGGCAATGCTTAACCTTTGCCCAAGGTAGTACCCAGCCCTTCGATCACCTGAGGCCTTAGTACGAGTTTGTTTTACGTTTAAAGTAATCGTAACGAGTACGCGTTCGGCGCTGTGATTGGTTGGTTCATTGGCGCCGGCCAATCAGAGCGCCGAACGCGTACTCGTTTCGAATACTTTAAACGTAAATGAAACTCATACTAAGGCCTCTGAAGTGTCAACCATCCTCCTTACAATATCTTTGTAAAGAAGATGACTATCCTCCTTCCAATATCCTTGTAAAGAAGATGTGCACTTGGACCCCACGGCCCTAAAGTTTCAACCCCAGACGGTTCGAAAGCATAATTGCCAATCAGGCTATTATACTTTCGCCGTTTGAGGTTCTCGGAATAATGACATACCGTCGGGTCTCTTGCCACGGTTTTTTCGGTTTTTTCTCACCTTTTAAACCTTCCCTAGACTTCCACGAACCTATCAAGACCAAAATTAGCCAAATCAGTTCAGCCGTTCTCGAGCTTTAGCGAGACTAACGAACAGAAATTCATTTTTATTTATATAGATAGATTATAGGCCTCTTCTTTAGTAAAGGTACCTAAGCGACGGTTGTGTAATGTAGAACTTCGATTGCAGATACTTATTGCTCTGGCATTCTATGCCACAGGCTCGTACCAGACACTTGTTGGCCAGAGTGCGTCTTAGACCACTGTCTCAAGGGCTGTGAGGCAAGTAACTGAAGCACTCAATAGCATCCTCCTGCAATATGTCATCTGGCCAAAGCATGTTCAAGACCGAAATAAAATTAAGACACAGTAAGCAGGCATCTTACTATGGGGTATTTCATTTACATTCCAACATTTGTGTTTACTATGACTACCTAACTGGTATTTTATGTTGTAGGTTCTATAAATTTGGGATTCTCGGAGTATTAGGCTGCATAGACGGCACCCACATAGCCATCCTGAGACCAGTTGAACATGAGGAGCGATATTTTAATAGAAACCATTCCCTTAATGTTATTGTAAGATATCTTAATATGCGCACACACACTAGTGCACTAGATTATCTCTTGCGTATGTGGCTGATCTTCATTGATATGCTACTATGACTGAAAACATTCAGAGAGTACCTAGTCTAGTAGTATGTTATTGCTTATTGGTTTTATTATAAAGACTTATTAAGTCTATGCCAATAAACCAATTCAATGTTTAGAATTTGTCGTGACATTGACGTGCCAGATGACAGAAGTTTTTTTTTAATTATTAACCTGGTCATAGATAACTATGTAATACAGCCATCTCATTTGAAATAAACTCTTTCTGACACCGTTAAGTTATGTTTTATCGTCAAGGCGATTCATTACCGACAATGTAATTCGTTATTGAATAACAGAAAATGATAAAAACGCATATTTAAATTAATAAAATAGTTCATTCACTCATTCAGCTTCTTGATAGATTTTGAATGGCAACACCTTTATCTGTTCAATTGAGAGTCAATTACAATTAGACTACAATTCCATTACGACTCTATTGAGTTTACATTCAAGTTTTTGCAGAATACCAAATTTGTTCTAATCGTAATGGAGTCGTGATTGAATCTCAATTGAATTTCAATAGCATGTGAGTTAAATAAAATTAGCAGACTTGAGGCCCTGATTGTAAGCAATCAACGTAGCCCATGGACACTCGAAACACCAGAGGCGTTACAATTGCGTTACCGGCCTTTTGCGAATTTGAGGATTGTGGGGGATTCGGTGAAAGAGGACACTGGGGAGCGGGAATAATTCTGGGAATAAACTTGGACCACCGCCTTACAATACGAGCAAAATCGCGGCCGCTTATGAGCGTACCTGCGCGCGGTGGTAGTTCATCAGTCTTACGTCGGCGACCAAAGCTATTGTACACGCGCTTAGACATTGCTTACTTGATTGTGTAAGTTTTATAATAATACTATTTCTATTTCTATCTAATAATATTATTTATTTCGACGAGTTTCGTTCTTCATTTTTCCTGCTATACCGCTGCGCAGCTAAGCTATAGTGGACTCTAACAAACATAGCAATAGGGATTAATTTCCTAAGCCCCGTTAGTGCCTACACCTTTTTAAATCTTTTATTCCATTATTTACGAAATATTTTTAAAAAAGATGCCAAGAAAGCATTTGATCATGTATGTTAATGTAATACAATACGAATCTCACCCGCCATCACAGATCTCATCAAAGGCCAGCATCACAGCGTCCAGGTTGTCCAGCAGGACTCTCCTCTCTACATTCCTCCTCAGTAGTATACTGACTGACTCGTACAGGGTGTTCAGTACTGACTGGAGGATAAGCTGGAATTATAATTAATTAATATAATTATTAGGTAATATACTTTTAACATAGGTTTCCTAACATAACATAACATCACGCCTTTTATCACCGAAGAGGTAGGCAGAGGTGTACATTACGGCACTTAATGCCACTGTACAATGTAACACCCACTTTTCACTATTTATGTTATGAGTCCCATGTAATAGGGGTGAGTCTATTGCCATATACCGGGCACTATTCCAGACCTTCATGCTACTACTGAGAATTTTTCCAAAAAATAGTTATTTCTAGCTTTTATAAATGACACCATGCTTTACCCACAAAGTCAGTCATTTATTTCCATTACACTTTTTTTAAGAGGGGAAAATCATCGATTGACTGCCCCGCCTGGGTGAGGCGGGAGGGAGTGTCAGACTCTTACTGACTAAAAACCACCCCGTTCCTTCTCCTGCACGTCGAGCCGGGGCCCCGGTTACCCGTTAGGTTCTCCGCGACATTTCCATTAGACTAGGACCGTTTTGACATTCAAACATGCCTGTTTAAATGTCAAAACGAAAAATTGAAGTATTAATAAATGTCAGTCTATCAGTTCAGTCACTCCTCTATAGTCAGAATTTTAATTAGATTCCAGATTTGACAATAGCTACTGTCATTTTGTGAAATAATGATACCACATATAACAGTGTAGTGATGAACACAAAAATCGATAAACAATCAGTGTGTGTGTTTTATAATAAATGTTACAGAAAGTGACAGGATAGCAATAGCGATGACGGCGACAATTTATAAAATAACTTATTACCATAATACATCTATCTGTTTTATTTGTCATGTTCCTTCATGATTACATTTTTTTTATTTATTTCACACACAATTATAAAAGAAAATCTCAGATCGTTAATTAATCGTCAAAACTAAATTATCGGTTCAGAAATATTTAATTTCATAATATACTTAGTTTACGAGAGTAAAATTATAAACAAGAAGAATCGATCCAGAAATATTGCATTTCCATATCGAATAATTTCGCAACGTCACTGTTTAGTACTTGTCATAACGTTGCAACACTGAAATTGTCAAATCTGGAATCGAATTAAAATTCCGAGTATAGTGAAGTTATTTGCTCGTTCCAAGGTGTAGATTCCTATGGATAGTGTAGATCATCTAAAATCATCATCTACTAAAAATTGATCTTTATAAAAAAGAGTAACAAATGGATTTCTTGCTCGTTCTTCTCCATTCGAATCTACATTTTGGAATGAGCACCTAGCTTCACTGACGGACTGACAGACAGTCTATTATATATTTTCTATTTATTGACGTTTCAAAAGTACCAAATTATGGATTAATTGAAATAATTGCTTTGACTTTGAAACAGTATTACCTCATTTTCATGTGAGCTGCCCATAACATAGAAGAAAAGATCCACATTGCTCTTGTAAACACAGGTCAAACCTTCCAGCATTATGATCTCCGCATTTGCTCTGAAATTAAATAACATTATAAGGATAACTATGGAGTTTCTTAGTTGGCTTTCAATACAATTTGACTGTCTCACGTTGAGTCACTGCAATGGGTCTCGGGCAATCTCAGTTAACAATAATAGGAGTTGCATGATAAATTCGTTTTATTTCTAACTACGACAATGCCTATCATGTTTAGAAGGACCTTTGATAGTCCAGCAGTGGACTGCTCTTACATCAACAGCCTATATTAACTCGTCGAGTACCAGTTTTGTAGACACAATTATAGAACAATAGGTTGCGGTCACCGGTGACCGCTTGGTGTTTGACAGTTTAATGCTCACTGCTGAGCAAAGCCTCTTCTCGCATGGAGAAGGTTCCAGCATTAATCACCGAACCACACACTTGCTCAATGCGGGTAAGTGATATCAAAGTAATGATTAGAAATCATAAGCCCAGGTTTCCTCACTATGTTTGTCTTAACCATTTGTCAGTGGTGTCTAAATAATCTCAGAAAGTGCATATAACTCAGAAAATGCCACATTGGTACTTGCCCTTGGTAGGTTTCGGACCCGCACCCTCATGCTCGAGAAAGCGGGCATCTTAAACCTCCTGGCCACCATTACATTATCTTAACATGCTCTTAATATGAATTAATAGATGAATGCACGGTTGGTGCGGTGGCTGGGCAACGGGCTGCCGTGCAGTGGGTCGCGCACTGAACAACACTTTGTGTGTTCTACAAATAGTTGTTTCGGCTCTGGGTGTCATTGCGAATGTTAACGGGGCAACATTGTAAAAAAAATATCTTACCTATGTGTCTTATTGAACAAGTTCTTCTCGAATGCCTTCTGCTCCTTGGCAGTGGGCAGGACATCTTTATCATAATACTTGGCGAGGATCCTGTTCCCATCATTGTCCAAGATGCACATGCCTTTCACTATGTATAGGGTTGGCTCCTGGAATTAGTCAAATTTGGAATTAGACAAAATTATGAGAAAAGAAACAATTACATGTTTGTTACTGCACCTTTATTCAACAAAATACAACCTGTAAGGATACTAATACACTCATACAGTGACCAAAGAAGCAAAGGTAATTTGATCTATCTACTATATAAATAATATCTACTATATAAAAATAGGTCAGGTTTTCCTTTCTGACGCTATAACCCCAAAATGCACGAATCGATTTCTGCGGTTTTTCGTTTGTTGGAAAGGTCACGGGCTCCGTGAGGTGTATAGCAAAAAAAATTCGCTAATCCCCAAAGGAAATGTTACATAAAACGACGCCATCTGGTGGCGAAATGGAGTTCGCCGGGTTTGCTAGTTTTAAATAAAAAATAATTATTATGTTATCGGCTTACTCACATAACTGTTTGCCAGATACTCAACTAGTTTCAAGCCATGCTAGAGGCTCATATTCAAGAGCATTACGCGACCCGACGTGGCGACTGTCGCGCTGCTACTGAGTTGTCAGCACTAGTTGATTTCCTCACCAAACGGTTATGTGAGTAAGAGAAGATAATGTCAACTGATTTGAAATTTCTAATAGTAGAAAATGTAAGTATTTAATTTAATAATGGTTAAATGTTATATATATTAGTATAACATTGTACGTATAATTATAACCGATGAAACTCAAGATTAGATCATCTTATTGGACATAGTAAGTATATTTTTTGCCACTATTTTATGTTGTAGATTGTAAATTACGAGTTTAGGATAAAAATAGATGATTAATCTACATAAATAATTAATTAACACGACATACCATTTAACCGATTTAGTTAGTAAAGGCACTGGAAATGATTTCGAACAATATAAAATATTTCGTTTCGAATAAGTCTTTCGGACAACTTTATATTGTCAATTTTTATGAGGAAACGATGTAGGCGGAATCAAAAATTTTAATCAAAGCTTTATAGCGTTACTAAACTGTATATTTTTAAAGAATTTCACGGAAATACGTTGCAAATTACACCGCTTCAATGTTCCAGTGCGAATATGGTTATTTCGTAATAACCGAGCGAAAATGTTTGTAACTTACAAAGAGAGATCCCTCCATTGTTGTGTGAACCATTTTTATGACAAATTATTTTCAATTTTGGAATATTTTTAAACAAAACATGCACTTTAGCTACGTGTTGACGTGTTTCGTTTTGACAATTGATTTTTGACGTATGACGTTGCGTATAGTGATGTGTCATTACCGGTTGAGTGTGGTGAGTTTACCGGTTTCTGAAAAGATCAATATTAAATTAATTACAATAAACAGCAAAAACACTATAAGTAATAATTATGTAAGGTAATTGTAAACTAAATGGATAAATGGAATAGGTACACTCTTGGAGTCGTATTATTATTCGCGCCATCTGTCTTGTTCTAAACGTAACTGTAATAGAACGTGTTGTGAACTTAGTTAGTTATTACGCTTAATAGATGGCGTTATTGAATTAATTGACCACTATTGCCCGCTAGATGTCGCTAAGTTTCTGTTTCTGCGATACAAGATAAAAACTCTCCCGAGTTCTAAAACTACAACGTACCTACATTCTATTGCCATTATAATGCTTATATACTCATCATCATCATTTCGACCCAGGTCCACTTGGGTATTCTGTATCGCGTGTTGCGCCTTCGATTCGTACTAGGAATATTTTATTCTGTAGGTGCTAGCTTCTGCTCGCGGCTTCGCCCGCGTTCCCGTAGGTTAAAAAGTAACCAGGCCGTAATCTATCCATGTTCCAATTTGCACCTCGATCCCTTTAGCCGTTTTGACGTGATTGAATAAAAAACACATACACAAACTCACTTACGCATTCATAATATCTATAATTATGTATAATTAAAAATGAATTTTTGTTTCGTTCGTTAGTCTCGCTAAAACTTGAGAACAGCTGAACCGATTTGGCTAATTTTGGTCTTGAAATGTTTGTGGAAGTCCAGGGCACGTTTAAAAGGTGCGAATTTTTTTTATAGGCTGTACGAAGTTTGCTGGGTCAGACTGGGGCAGACTTAGGCATAATTGTCCTATAAACAAGATTGCTCTCCAGGTGTACTCCATCGCTAGTATATTGCAGCAACAGCGCTCACTGATTAACATAAACGTTTTTCAATGAACTTACGACCAACACCCGCCTACAAAGCGTAGACTTTGCGGAAAGCCCTCAATAGAAGAGACCCCAAAGTTTAGCAGTCAATGCTACTGCCTGATGGTGGTAATGAAATATTATTATCAATATTTTCATCGACAACTTTGATCTAACAACAACAAACAGATTAAAAATAGCTACAAATTAATTACAATATTTTCGCGCCACATTTTGACACATGGCGGGAAGATGCAAGATGGCCGCTAAGAATAGACAAGATAGAGACTTTGATGTCAGCGAATCAAATTACAAAAAGTTTAGTTTCCTCTTTAAACTTTAGATGTTTGTAACATTTATTTATTTTTTATTTTGAAATGCTTTACTCGTGTTGCGGTTTTGGTAATAAGAGACACGGTGTCTGATGGCTACGGGGAGGGAGATGGATGATTATTGAATTACGTAATAGTTAGTTAAGTGTTTTATTTTTAAGTCTATATAAGTAAAAATCAGTTCAGCCAAACGTGAGATAGTCGCACATTAACATAGATACATCAAACTGGGAACCCCTTTTTTGAAGTCGGTTCTAAAGTACCTACCTACTCGATTTGTAGGTACCTATGTGTTGTTATAGTATTTTCTTATCAATGTCTTGTTCTAATGTTGTGCCTACTCAATCAATCAACTTATCATCATCGTTTCCATCCACTACAGCGGGGGTATTCTGGAACCGTCAATTTAAATTTTGGTAGTAAACTCGATCGCATTGTCGCCCGTCATTGGTCGAGATTGTTCTCACAACCAGTGACACGTCGCTGGCGGACCGCGATCGAGCTCATTTATCTTTCGAATTAAAAGTTACAACATAGCCCAGATGAACTAATTATTATTATTATCTTACTACCTATTTATCTATAGGCGGTTTACGGACGGCGGACGTCTATAAGTCTCTAATAGTGTTGTATGATGTGTGCGACTGAGCTCGATTTCTAGATTTCCCTAGACACTCCTACTGGGGGAAAATCATCCAATAGCTTCTCTCGCCAGGGTTAGGTGAAAGGGAGTGTCAGACTCTTACTGACTAACAACCACCCCGTTCCTACTCCTGCACTTCGAACCGGTGCCCCGGCATCCCGATAAGTCCTCAGCGGCTCTGTATCGACATCAGTGGTGGTCTGATGGCTCTTTGAGTACGAGCCGTACGCTCGGGCCTTGTTCTGGTCTGGCGGCGAGTTACCCGCCGAGTGGCCGAAGATCGTCTCACGATCCCCGACACTCGGAGTGTCTCCACTCCAGGAAAACATTGTTCCCCAACGGCGCTACCCAATAAGCCTGAACCTATAAAATTACGACCTTCAAACTGTTGGCCAAGCGTACAGAATATGCAAAAATGTAGATGAGGCTCAAAGTCCAACAATAAACTGTCAAAGACTGTTGATCTTGTGTTGATCAACATGGCAGCTTTTCTAAAAAGCCATTTATGAATTCCATGAATGCATTACGTGTCAAAAAGTAATATAATAACGAACCTCATACAAAATAAGGGAAAAGTCGATAAACCATTTTTAACTCGAGTAGTGCTCACGATGTTTCACTAATCGACTATTACTGATCGTTACTTACTCGTTTCCCTCTAATTATTGCTAGTAAAATCGACTAAACTACCCCTGATGTATAATCTGTGACATTAGTCGGAGGTAAAAATAAAATGGGGGTGGGGTTAGTTGGGGTTGGATGGCGTGAGTTCCGTATAATATTTTTTTTTTTGATGTAATTATTTAAAACCTTACCTAGAACTATCATTATAGTTTTCTCCATTGCGATAGTTTAGGTCTAAAACTAAATCTATGCACCTAATTACTTATTTAAAACAAAATCAAAAATATAGCATACACAAACTTAACTATTAACTAAAACTAACTTTAATGCGGTTTCATCTGAAACTTAGTTTTTGTATAAAACTTCAAACCCTCTATTTCTTGTAAAGGGTATGCTGTGGTACCTACATGGTAATATCACTGCTACTAGTCTGTTCATTATTTAAGTATTTTCAGTTATATTGAGCTTACCGTATTAGTGTATCGAACCATATTCAGACAATATTGTCTTCGCCCAATCCGGTAATCAAACCCGATACCCTTTGCAGACTATAAGCTAGATCAGCCGTTTCATCAGACTGTTTTATATTAGATACTTTCTTATGTGTCAGGGGTTGAATCTGAGATCTTTAGTCAAATAAAAAGATAGTCTAACGTTAACTAACACATATTATTTAGTCATATTCAGGGAACCTTAATTATAATCCAATATAACTAGACCCCTACCTATAAACTAAAAGTTAATATAATTAGATCTACATATATCGGCAGTTCAGTAAATATCCAATATAACTTGAACCCTGTCTCTAAATAAAAAGTATGTATAATTAGATCTAGTTATACAGGCGGATTAGTGGTAGTATATTTTGGGCTCACATTCATAAATAGAAGGACATTCGGGGACTAAATCATTTTAACGTCAAACTGCGAACGAGTGACGCGTCGGGAGACTTTTATACGGTCCGGGGCGGGGACGATACGATGTTTTTCGTTTTTTTATAGATAGTTGATGGGCCGACGTTTGACCACTATCTCGATGGGATGATGCGGTCTATGATGGACCACGTCGTCCCATAAGCAACCTATTCACTCGGGCCTTGAAGATACCCAGGTGTTCTTTACTACTACTCCTTAGCACTTTTTTTTAAGGGGGGAAAATCACCGGTTGCCTGCTTCCGCCTAGGGTGAGGCGGGAGAGAGTGTCAGACTCTTACTGACTAAAAACACCCCGTACCTTCTCCTGCACGTCGAGCCGGAGCCCCGGTGACCCTTTAGGTTCTCCGCGACTCCGAATACTCCTTAGCACTACGCGATCATTTTGAAAAACATTCTAAAATCGTATGCTATAAACGTCTTCAGGTGTCAAACGCGGGTGTCAGCTGACAGACGGGTCTCGTGTCCGCCCCTAGCTAAATAAAACATATCGCTCGAGTTTAGGATGAGTAGTATGGGTACTGAGCGGTTTTGATGTGCTCATTGCATTGCTAACTATAGTAACACAGCACAAAGTGTCTATAAGAAAAAGTATCGTTATGTTTTTTGTTTGTTTGTTTGAACGCACTAATCTCCGTAACTACAAGTCTGATTTGAATAATTCTTTTTGTATTGGATAGCGAATTTATCGAGGATGGCTATAGACTATTAAACATCACGCTACGACTAATAGGAGCTGAGCAGAGCGTGTGAAACTAGCTAGGTAGTCTTGATATAAAGACAGTATCAGAAGGCAAATATATAATAAGAGTATGGTAGAGTAGAACGTAACATTTTTAAACGACTTCAAAAAAAGAAAGTTTTACTTGTATATGCATATGTAATAGGGATGATGACAGGGTATGAAAATTATAAAACTAACTAGTCCGTCAGTTAGGTAATGACAAAATATTAGATACGTAAATTTTTTTTGTCGTATAATTAAATGATACTTAGATAAAACGAATCAAAGTTTAGGAGTGGGGGTAAAACGTCATTTCTACATATAAAATGTACATAGAAGTGACGTCACGGGACATTTCAAATCAATATACATCGAAAGTATTCGTTTCTGTAAGAAAATACGTGTCTAATAATTTAAAATAATCTACCAGACAGACATTAAAATAAAAATTAGGCATCTACCCTATTGGCGTTCCATATTTATGTTTAGATTATAAGATTTTTTAGGTTTGGGTTATAATATGTATGTAAGATTTCTTATCAAGGAGTAATATACTTTTTTATTCTTATATTCCTAAAGGGTCGGGGCTCACTTGCGAAACGGGAGTGTTTGTTCGTCTTTATTTCTCGTCGCGACTGGCAATTTTATAGCATAATTTTTGTGTCTAGATATATTTAGGAGTTTAACTCGTCGAGCACCGTCAATATAGACACAATTAAAGAACAATAGGTTGCGGTCACCGGTGACCGCTTGGTGTTTGACAGTTTAAAGAGTTTTCCTTGACTTATAGTCAAGGAAAACTCTGAAAAATGGATTTTTTTTTTCA